AAAATAGGTTTTTAGAGAAAGAAATTGGATTTTTAGAGAGAGAATGGGTTTTTAGAGAAAAAGAGAATAGGTTATTAGAGAGAGATTGAGTTTTTAGAGAATGGGGTTTTGGAGAGAGATTGGGCTTTTAGAGAGACTGGGCTTTTAGAGATAAAAAGAGAGATTGGATTTTTAGAGAGAGAGATTGGGCCTTTAGAGAGAGAATAGGGTTTTAAAGATAAAACGAAAGATTGGGTTTCTAGAGAGAGAATGGGTTTTAGAGCGAGAGATTGGATTTCTAGAGAGACAAAGTGGGCATTAAAATTTCTAAAAATATTTTAGCATGTATTAGTTTTATTTCTTTTGGTTATGAAAATAAGAAAAGCTTGAAGAGTGAAGATTAAAAAAATTAAAAAAATTAAAAAAATTTAAAAAATTTAAAAAATAAAAAGAATAAATGGGTCAGGCCTTGTTGGCCAGCCCAAGGCATTTTTTGGCTGCCAGGTCAGTCATGCCTGCTGGGCAAAAATTTCTGGCCTTTTTCAAGCCGACCTATTAAAGGCCCGTCCTCGCCGGTAAGCAGCATCGTTCACAGCGGCCGGCCTGTTAGCGGCTCGAGCCCGTTAGAAGCCTAGAACCAAGCCCGTTAGAGGTTCAAAACCAGGCCTAGCTCAATGCATTAATAGCCCTACCCTTCATGCATGATTTAGTTTTCCTCACCCTACCCCTTGAAAATCTGTGGTCGGAATAAGCATTTTTGAAGGATGAAATACTCAAAGCCATTAACGAGCTGAGCTCTGACAAAGCCCCTAGCCCAAATAGGTACCCTATAGCTTTCTTTAAGACCTTCCAGGAAACCACCCGACTGGATGTTATCGAAAAAAAAATTTCTCTGAATTTCACTCTAGAGGGGTGATCAACAAAGCCATGAATGCCACCTTTATTGCCCTTATTGCAAAGATTGAAGGGGCAGAGGAGCACAAGGAATTTAGGCACATCAATCTTGTAAACAGTTCTTACAAGTTACTCACCAAAGTTTTGGTTTCTAAACTTAGAGCTATCTTCAACTGTGTTATCTCCCCTTCTCAAGAAGTTGTTGTCATGGACCGCCATATTTTAGATTGGGCCCTCATTGCCCATGAGTGCATTCATTCACGCTCCATCTCTAAGACCCCTGGACTTGTCATTAAACTTGACTAGGAAGAGGCATATGACCATTCTGATTGGGTGATTCTCGATGAGACTCTCAGGAGAATGGCATTTGGACTGAAATGGCGAAATTGGATTAGAGGTTGCATCTCAAATCCTGTGTTATCGGTGTTGATCAATGGGTCCCAAGGGATTCTTCCCGACCAACAGGGGTCTCTGCAAAGGCAACCCTTTGTCCCCTTCATTGTTTTAAAAAGCGGACCGCCCAGTGCCTGAGCGACCGCCTAGGCGGTCCAAAAGACTAGGCGCATTGCCCAGGCCTAGGCGGATATCCCTGGGCACCCGCCTAGGCGCTCACCAGGGCGGCCGCCTAGAGCCTGCGCCCCGCCTAGGGGCGGAAATGCAGCTCCTTGAGGTTATTTTTAGGTCATTCTTTTAATATTAAAGGGCAAAATTGTGCGTTTAGGTTCATTTGAAACCTAAAACCCATTAGAGGCCATTTTAGAGAAAGAAAACCCCAAATCAAAATTTGTTTTTACTGGGCCGCCAAGGTTCTAGGCACCTGTCTGGGCGGCCGCCTAGGTGCTGAGCGACTTGGACCCCCCCGACTGCCTAGGTGTCGCCTAACGCTTTTTGAAACACTTGTCCCCTTTTCTATTTGCCATTATGGCCGAAGTCTTCAGCTCATCCATTACTAGGCTTTACCAAGCAAGCCTCTTGAGAAGGTTTTCAATCTAGCAGACACAACCCCAACATTTCCCACCTATAGTATGCAGAAGATACGCTAGTCTTTTGTGACTCCTCTGCACAACAGGTCGACACTCTTCTTATTTTTCTCAATTGTTTCGAAATGGCAATGGGTTTTAAGGTAAATCTGGCCAAGTCCAAGATGATGAGGGTTTGCACGACCCAACCACAGTGCAATCCCTTACTGATAGATGGGGTTGCTTGGTTGATATCCCCTCCACATACTTGGGCCTCTTGTAATGCAGAGGATTGCCCCTTCTTTCTCATTAGAGTCACATTGTCAATAAATTTGATCGGAGATTTGCCGGGTGGAAAAGTAGATTCCTATTTAAGGCGGGCAGGCTTACCTTAATCAAAGCTACCCTTGCAAATACCCATGTGTTCCAGATTTCCTTATTCTATATCCCTTCCTCACTTTTACAACTAAATTATTACACTTTTTTTTTTCAATTAATAATTTATTTATGTAGAAGTAGGTGATTATGTATTTGATTTTGAAATTGACCTTCATGTTTGCATCTAATATTGAAATTAAAAATTAATCTATGATTATGATGTCTCATCCATCTACCTAATTCGCTATTTGCTTTTTACCCGCTTAGTACACGTGCCTAAAGAAGCTCCTTGGCTACGGTCAATGATACTCTTATAACTATTCGATTTGAAATCTGACGTACAAGTGTGTTCGTGACCTTTTTGTACAAAAAATAAATGATCTCTTTGTATACTTTTTTATATCCATCGAATTTCACATCCAATGGTCGAGATTAGTTGTGACCACCTTGTACCAAAGGTAAATATTCTCATTGGGTACTTTCCTATTATTATTAAGATAAATTTATTTCTTTAAAAAATGATGTGGAGGAGACAAGATGCATAGATATGACAAAATTCAGAGCCCCAAGATCTGGATTGGGAGTCGGTTGGGACCGAATGGATTGGGAATCAGAAAGGCCTGAATGGCTCTAGGAAGATATCAGTATCAGCCTGATTCCCCCTCTAAAATGGCCCTTTATTTTTAAATTTTTTTAAGCTAATGTTAATTTTCTTAGGCCCCCCTAAATCCTTCTACCATAAACCTCTGTTTTCATTGTGATTTTTATTATTTTCAAATATTTTTTTAGATTGCCAATTCTACAATGCTGGTCCCAAGCGTGGATGAGAAAGGAGGGTTGTATTACAGTCCCCACGCACTGACTACTATGACTCAGGCTGCCAACTCCGTGTGCCGAGCTTTTGGGCTTAACTTCGCTCTAAGTAGGCCCACACTCTTTTCCAAAACTCCCCCTCTTTTCCTAAATTTTTCTAAAATTTTCCCTTTAGTGGATTTTTAGTGTTACTACCTTGTAAGCCGGTGTGGCTAGTGGTGTCCACAAAAGGATAGTCTCACGTTTAGTTTCTCTTGTGGACTAGAATTCAACAGAACCCAGAGTAACTCCCTTTAAGTTTGAGGTCAGGCCAAGCAATTGAGATACCGTTTGCCTTGAAATCAGACATAAACATCTAGTTTTATGCTTTTTCCAAATTGGGGTTACCAACTATATTTAGATACATACACAATTAGGAACCCACAATTGCAAACCCTGTTAGCGTGTGCTCTAGAGGTCACGTTTATGCAGAGAGTACTCTTGCTAACAGTGCACAACTCCTAACTGTCATTCCCTAGACAGCTAGGTGCCCCGCTCTACGCTAACATAGGACTAGGGTGTTTTTGAAAATTGTTTGAAGACATCTTTGAGTGTGGTGTGTGCGCAAAATCAAAGTATGGAAAGCAAGTATGGAAAGCAACACATGCGTGAGGTGTCTACCCAAAGCCCAAGGGGGATTGGGCATCCGCAATCTAAGAGCTCACAACAATACCCTCCTAGGCAAGTGGTGTTGGAGGTACGCCACTCAACCCCAACATCGTTGGAGGAAGTTATCCGTCACAAATACTGCAATGGCAGTGATAGTTGGTTCCCCAACTGCAGAAAACAGCGGCAATATCTCGGGTTTCTGGAGGTCTGTCCTTCATTGCAGAAACCACTTCCTCCAACGTATTCACTTTCGCCTTGGGGAGGGCAATAGAGTGAAATTTTGGACTGACACTCGGATTGGCCATACTCCTCTTAGGAACCATTTCCCTAACCTTTTCCTCCTAGAGCATGATGCCTAGTCTCGTCTAGATCTTGGATGCCAAATTTCAAGAGTCTCCTAGCACAACATGACTTAGAAGAATTCAGGGCTCTGGATGAACTCCTTCACCTTGTTTTCCCCCTCCTAGTGGGGAAGACAATGTTATTTGGGCACCTGCAGTCATGGGAATCTTCTCAGTGTCCTCTTTCTTTCGGACCTTAACTGCAGCCAACCCCAACCCCACCTGACCTCCCCTCATTCTCCCGTCCAAAGCTTGGTTCCCTCTTATACCCCCGAGGATACAGGTGTTCTGTTAGATAGCACGTCTCTCTCTACACAATAGAAATGAACATTCTTTAAGAATAAAAATAAAAAAATACAGTTTCCCAAAATGGAGCCACCCGCACGTTAGTTGATGACTTACTCCATTAAAAAGTACGCATTATGCTACGGATGATTTGGAAGTATAACTTAACACAGAAGCACGATAGTGTCAAGCTGTGACAGCTTAGCTAGATGACCAGCAATGATCACTATGGTCCTAGGATGCAAAATAGGTAACACCGCTAGCATTTCATATTTGTCTTGAGACTTTCGTTCCCTGTAGGCCATTCTAACATAGAGCAAATTGTGGAAGGTTCGTGATAAGACCTTTGTTACATAGAGCAGAAGATGGAGTGGGAACACCGGTTTTCTAAAGGAAAGGGTTCAGAGAACCTAGGAGACAGGCAATGAAACATATTTGAGCAAGAAAAACATATACACTAGTCCATATCAATCCAGAAAGAAATTGAGAAAATTATTGTGAGATGAACATGAAAGACTGCATCTTTCAGGAATTTAATAAATGAAATCCTCAAGCTTGTAGAGTATATACTACATCCCAGAGAACCCAAGGCCAGAATTTATTGTACTAAAATAAGTCACCATAAATTTTACCATTTGGTGTGATCATCCAAATATCTCAAAGACAAAATTTTACCGATTCATGGAGTGGGATTTTTACTGACCTCTGTTTTATGGTTATATATGCATCTGAAAACTGAAATTCTCGCAAGCATTCTTCTCTAAGTTCCAATAAATTGGCCAGGCCTAACTTTCCATAAGCAGCCGGCTCTTCCATCAACCTGTATTCATTTATTGAATTTATTAACAATTATAAAAATGGAAATTCATAAGGGAAAATAGCGGCAAATTTTAACAACAAAAGCTTAATATGGGCCCTCTTATTCAAACTTAAATATATTCTAGAGCTGACACAACATAACACAGCAGTACATAGACCCTCGGACTTGGAAATATGTAGGCATAGTCCAGTGCTCAACATCATTTCAACAAGAACAGAGCACTCTGTTCCATTCAACATACGGCAGAATTGGCAGTCAGGCCATTTTTTAATGGTACAAAAGAAGAAATATAAGAGCATTAAACTCCATGCTTGCAGAAGCATAAGTGTCATTTTCTACCCTTAAAAATTAATATGTCCTTGTCTTAAGAAAAACGAGTTTAATCCAATTTTTGCTAGTGTCCATGGATCCCTCTAATGTTGCAAATATATAACAAATCACTGTTTTAAGGGTCATTGATACTTGCACCTTTGTGAGATGTGAGTAGAACAGTATGGGTGGTTGTGTTTGAAGAATCAAGGAAAATATTTTGAAAGAAAAGTGAAGGCAAACATTGAGATAGGGATCTTGGCAAGGTAGAAATTAGGGACGATACTCTCAACCAATTATGACAGGGCCAAGTCATAAGAGAACATGTAAAGGTGAGAAATGTAGCCAAAATTTGTAGTTAGATTGGTTAGTTATGATAAAAAGGTGGCAGTAAATTGCCAGAAACATGGATGCGGCATAACTAACAGATATTTTCTCTTAACATGAAGATAGTAGCTATATACAGACTCAAAAAGCCAGAGAAGACAATACTGGATTGACAATAGCAGTCTACATAACAATGTCGGAGGAAATTGAAGTGAACTAAAGCTTGTAGTCATATAAGACCGTGATCAACAGTCACTCTTGAGGAAGGTAAAGAGCAAGGCATTTGGGTGCAATGGAAAAATCCAACAAACTACAAGGAGGAGCACTTACAAGGAGCATATTTCCGGGGATTCAAATTCAGTTTGAATCACTATGATGAATTCGGAGGAACTACGCTGACAAACTTATTGCAGACCATCAAGGAATAGTAGGAGATGAGAAGTATTAATCAGCCATTAGTATTGACATCAACTCCTATGAAGATTGATAGAAGCATTGTTACCCGAAACGATTCCAAATTTGAATCGATTTAGGAATCGAAATCGCGGAATCGCTGCCAACTGTCAAGATTCCTAGTTCCTAGGAATCTAGTTTCCAACCTAGTTGGAAATGAGCAATATAGAATCGAGATAACTCATTTATGGAAGCAAGATTCCGACTTCTTCAGAACCGAGATTCATATCTATTTGGATTCGATTTTCAACCCAAGCTGGAATTGAGATTTATAGCAGTTTGGATTCGAGTTTCGACTCATCTGGTAATCGAGATTTATAACCCCCTAATATGTTGGGTTTTGTGGCCTTTAAAGGCCTAGAGAGCTTGTAAAGAGATAACTTTACAGTGAAATATGCACTACAATGATAGTGTGTGTGTTGACTGACCATGGGTTGGGCGGCACTACCGAGAGGGATTTGCAGTGGATCATCCCTCATTGAGGTCGGAGAGATGCCCAAGAATGATGCTTGTAGGCCAGAAGAATTGTGTGGTCTCTTGTGTGCGGTTGTAGCCATGTGAGAGCAAGGGATACAGCCTCAACAACCTTCTACATTGCATGTACATATGACGGCCGCATTATTGGAAAACAGCTCTATAGAGGGACACGTGTACATGTGCATAGAGAGAGCCCCTTTTGAACTATGGTGACAAGTGCTAGACTTGCTCTTAAAAGGGGAGACTGAAATCCACATTCCAAGATTATGGTCCCATTACTTATTATCCAACTTTGACAAGCCAATCATAAGCCCCTGCATAGAGACTATAGGTCTTTGTTGGGGTTAGATAAGAAAACAGTAGTAGACCATTGTTCTTGGATCAAGTGGAGTTTCTTTATTGTCGCTAATTTTGACTCATTGTTATTAGTCCACTTCCAAAATATTTTATTTTAGTATTAAAATGTTTTTATGATTTTTAAAAAAAAATCAGAAATTTAAAAATTTATTTATGCTGTAAAATTCATTAAAAAGGGTATTTCAAGACATGTGGGGACCAAGGATCCAGCCCCAAATGTCTATGCAACCCATGTGTGGAAATGTGTCGCCTTGTGCGGCCAACATAATCCCCTTAGGATGGCATGCCCCCCCTTTCTTTTTTATGTGTCATTTTTAGTTGATAGGTTTAGTTAGTTAGGAATCTTCTAAAATTAAAAAGTTTTGATACCTATTCAAATGGAAAATTTTCTTTAAAAGATTATCTTTGACTTCCTATATATTTTGGAAGATCTACATAATATTAAATGTGGTTATTATTTACATTTAAATAGAAGTTGGACAGAGCTCAAATTATAAGGAAACAAGGTTCCTATTTTCTACCTAAAATCATGATGGCTGATTTGTGGGCTGAATTGCTTTTATTCAATCTTTCTCGCCCCACAGATTTCCTATATATCTTAATGGTCAAGATGGAAAATAAGATCAGGCATACCTAAATGGAGCCCCACAGATTCTCCCTCGCGGCAACATCTCTTTGTCCCCATAGTTGGCACATCGTCCTCTCTCCTTCTCTTTTATGTATGTAGTCACTCAAAGAAAATAAAGGAAGAAAGATGGGATGTGAAACCTTTAGTGGGGATACTGATTTTTTAAGAAAAAAGAGATACATACAACCTAGAGAGAATTCAACACTCAAGTTCGGCCCAAATTTGTTCCTCTAGGGCTTCTACAAACCTTAATAGAGTTTTTCAGCTCTCTAAAACCCTAGAATGAAAGGAGTTGCCTGTAAAGTTTTCCCATCTCAGAACTTCCTACAAGACCAAAAAGACTACAAAGTGCATCATCAGTCATGGAATCGGTGTGGGTTGTATCAAGACCTGTGAGGGTGACTCCAGGTATCTTCTAGTAAGTCTTCCAAGTAGATTTTATTTTTTTTCTGTTATATTTCATATTTTTTTGTGAATTTTCAAGAACTTGTATTGTACTCAAAACTAGAGTGGAAGATTATTTATTGCTCCTGGATGGCTTTTATTTGCTTTGGCAATAAAAGTAAGATCCTAGGTTGTATCTAGGGTATTAATTTTGATTTATAGCAGTATATAGTGGTCCATATAAGTGGAATTCAAGTATATTGAATAAACAAAAAAGAAAATTTTAAATCTGTTGCCTTGCGTTCCACATAGCCTACTCCTGTCATAATAATTAAGCATCAAGCAAATAAATGGACAGATTAGCAACAAATATAGAAGTTAATAGAAAACTACATATTGCATGAATTAAAAACGGACACACATGGATAGAGAGTGAAAGAGATTTTGACATTAAACGGTAACTGAGGTTTACACCAGCTCCCCCTAGTCTCTTCTTCAGCTCCCTCTCTGTTACCACTTGCTTCTGGGCTGGTCACTGCCCACCCCATGTCGCCTTTAGCCTCTCTGGGGTTTTCTTCTCCCTTCCCCCTCCTCTCTCTGGTCGAACCTATTACCTCTTCTAGAAAGGATCCTTTCGGCCTTTCTTCAGGGATCTTTAGACCAATGGAGGCAGACGGGCTCCATTTTCTGGTCTTGCCGGCAATACCATCGCCTTTGATATCTTCCCCAGTCAAATCCACAGGTTCCTCTATCTCAGTTGATACCATGGGGGATCCTCTCTCCCCCCCCCCTCGGTGGACTCGGATTATGTAAACGACATCGACGCAGGACAAGGCGAGATTCAGGACGTGATAAAAGTGATGGGCTTCCCCCACACTAGACCTCGATGGACCTTTCCAAGATTTCTTTAAGGCAGATCTGCAGTCTCGTGTTCGGGAATATGTCCATCGTGTGGATGCATACTTGGAGGGAAGGAAACCAAGAAGCTGACTCCCTAGCTAAAGAAGCAGTGATAATGGTTACTAGAAGCTTATTGGTTTTTTGTGGGTTTTTGGGTTTTTTGACTGAGCTTCATGGATCGACTTGCGTTTTTTGGGTTGTTGTGCCTCACTGTAACCTCTTAAACGAGGATTTTGATGCCATTTTCTGGTTTGCTTAAACCCTTGAGCATCCTCTTCTGTGGATCACCAAGGTCTATTGCACTTTTTCTCTTTTCTATTAAAGGTTAACACGTTCAAAAAAAAAAAACAATAACTGAAGTTTACATATTTCATTACACACTAATGGGAACATTGAGAGGAGCTTCTGTGTGATACAAGAAGACTATGGAGACACTCTTGGGGCAAGTCTAGGCAAAGGCTGGCTTGGGTCGTGCTCGGTGGTATCAATTGCCGAATCATTGACACCTCTTGGAGGAGTAGATGCCTCTCTTAAAGTACCCAGGGGAGTGTTAGATCTTAGAGGTGGTAAGACGTTAGGCATACATCTGTTATCATCAACATTGAGGCATGTATCCAATACTACCAAAGCCTCTATGTCATCCTCAGGGTGATCATCTTCAGGATGAGAGTCTCAATCCTTGTATATGGCTTCATAGTCTGCTTGTAATCTACTCAATATCCTCTCATTGTAATGCACATATACCAACGACTCTAATCTATCTACATTAAGCCAATTTCATTTCACGCTAGGTATGTAGCTATATCTGCTCCAACATCTCTCCGCAAAAGAAGAATTGACAACACCTTCACTGCAAGCTAGGACTACCGCTTACCACCACCGTACATGTCCCCCTACAACACAGCTGCCATAGTACCCCAATCAGCTATAGATGCTGGAAGAGACAAAATCCCTCTATTCTCCACAAAATCACTAATTTGTAATAGGTGCATGGTAACAGGCAAAAACTTCTAGATTCTGATGGGGCTTAATCCTCTTCTCCCCCCCAAGAGTTGGCATAGCCAATTACTCTAAAGAATAGTACTTGGGACTGAGAAGGAACGCCAAACAACGTAGTAGAAGATTCGACGTGTCTTGATGACCCACGACTAAAGTCTACTCTCTCTGGAATAACACAGGATCGTCATATAGGGCATGGCAATTTCACCTAGCATAGTATGCATACGCTCGTGTGTATCTCCCACGACAGCCTTGTCGCTGTCACTATAGGCAAACTTTATCATCTTCCATATTGGTCTCGTAAAAGACAACATCAACTTATTCGTCTCCAAGATCTCGTCGTCAATTATAATATCATGGACTAAGCCATGTTCAGTATCTGTTGCACCATGTTTAAGACCCTCCCACTCACTGCCATCAACTTCCTCAGCATAAAATAGTGATAACCAAATCTAGTCTTCTTGGCCTTCAGAAGTAAAGGCACCTAGTATAGTTACGGATGTACTTCACTACCACTTTCGCCTATTTGCATTGCTTCCTAATGAAAGTGAAAGAAGGATTTCTCTTATTTTTATCAACAATATCTTTTATGAAAAGACTTCACATGTGAGCCAAACCCGACCAAAAAATATGACAGTGGATTACAACTCAAAAAAAAAAAGTTGAGATTCTCGGAGGGTGGAAGCATGATTGGATGCTTGATTAGTTTGTTGTTTCTTGCATCTACGAACCATGGTAGTTGACGTTCAAGAATCTGGATTCAAAAACAATCAAAGCGAGTACCCTTATATGTAGAAACCCGGTTCAACAAGTATAGAATCGAGAATCAACAGATGTAGAATCAAGAATCAACAATTGTAGAATCAAGAATCAACAATTGTAGAATCAAGAATCAACAATTGTAGAATCAAGAATCAACAATTGAATAATCGAGAATCAATAAATATTTGAAACGAGATTCTGTAAGTGTTGGAATCGTGAATCGCGGCCTTCAGTGAGAGAATCGGGTAACTATGGATAGAAATATCAACTTAGGGAACACATGAGCACTTAGCAGGAAGCAAATCACTAGAGAGGAAGGGCACCCAATCGAAGCTATCAACTTTCAACATCTCGTAAGAGATATAGTTTCAAAAAAAAAATAGTAAGAGATCTAAACACGCAAGAGTGAATATCTCAAGAGTGGATATCTCACTATCACAAGAGTGGATATCTCCCATTAGAAATCAATTCACGCAAGATCTGAAGAAGTTCAACTTTCATACCACTCAAAATAATTTTTTAAACTAAGATAAAACACTAATAAATTTTTCCTGCCAGTAAATACTAAACAATGTTGGAAATCTGGACCTTACTTACGACATGTATTTTGGGAAGAATGGCACGAAAGAACCCATTGATCGTTATTACATAGAAGATAGGATTATTGGAGAAGTATCAAATGGAAGACATTAGCAGAAATAGCAGAGAACAACAGAATATAAAGGACTAGGATCAAATAGCCAACGTTCTGTCCAAGATCATAAAACATAACAAATTTGGAAGGGTTGAGCAACGAAACATGGCTTATTCGCTAGATGAAGCATTAGTGTTAGATTAGCCGTATTAAGTTTTGACTTGGACTGTGGAGAGTCAGGATACTTCTAAACCTCTCCTTTCATTAGTTGTTTTGGGAAAACAAATTAGCTTGTGTTATCGGTTCCTCATATTGCCGTTGCATAAAATTCATAATGTGCAGTAAGGAAATCAATCTCAGTTGCTCAATTAATCTTTTCACATCTTCCCTTAATCTTGAGGCTGATTCAGGAAGAAAGTATGGTGGAATCATTTTTACTTGACAAGCGGAGGAAAGTTAGCCTCAAAGTCCAAATTAGACAATTTTAGGGAGAGGGTTAGTTGTAACAGGTAAATTAAAGAAGACCACCTGAGCAAATTGACACTGGAGAGGTTTAGTTGTAACGAGCAAATTTAAAGAAGAGGAGATTGCATGCGGAACTAAGAAAATATAGAAGGCTTTGTGTCTTCATAAAACTTTATGCACATGAGAGACCAGTACTAATTGGATCATTGTGACTAGGGACGTAAAGGGCTCAAGTCAACCCCAACCCAAACCCAGCTAGGTCCAGCCCGTCGGACTTAAACATGACCCAGTGGGTCATTCCCACCCACCGGCTTGGGTAGATCTTGTGGACCTGCCAGGCCACATGCACCCCCATGTGTGTCTGTGTGTGTGGGCAACCAGGTCGGATCAAGCCAGATCTAGACTGATCAGGTCCGGATCTGTTGCACCCGAACCCAAACCCAATCCACCAGATCCAATCCTTGAACTCAGTCAAGTCCAGATCTGTCATTCACGTGCACCTATGTCCAATTTTCGGGTCAGGAACCGGACTTGGGTCTGGTTGACCCCTAATTTTGATGAAGATATTACCTTGCCAAGTGGGCAGAAAATGCACGAGCAAATGCATCTCCCCTTCTTTTAGCATCATCAGTTCCACCTTCACTAGCCACAGCCTAACAACCATGACACAAATAGCAACAATTAGGATGATTATAATACAAAAAAACAAGGTATCATATGAGATAAATACTCAAAATACTGCAAGATCTAAATTTCAATCAACAATATGAAACTCTATGAGTATCATGCAATTAGAGAAACAAGTACATTGCAGAAAATTAGTTATCCTCAGAAGATCTAGAAACCTATTACTATCATTCACAATAAAAAAAAAAAGATGTTTATAACTCCTGGACTACCATAGCAAGTGTGCTTTCTTAAAGGAATTTCATAAAACCCTTAATTTCAACAAAGGATATATTATCAAATTTGATACAAATTGGATCATAGTAAATACCAAAGGAGGAGATTCTTTTTTTTTCTCTTTTTTTTATGACTCATCATAGATAGAACTGGTGAAGTTAATGTTTCCTCATTAGTCATTTGAATAGCCATCATTGATGTCTATTTTTAACCTTAAAAGGAAAAATAACTAGGTCCATACTCTGTATGGACACGGTCTTGGCACTTGAATAAAAATTATAATAGGCCACTAGTAATTGGAACAAAGTTAACTAGACACAGGGAATGGGTGGGGGCTCTTGGCACTATGGTTAGGGTAAGGGGAAGTTCCAATGGAAAGAGAGCAACATACGAGTTTTTGAATCAAGACCCACCAGGAGAGCTTATTGTGAAAAGAATTACCATGCATGTTCAGGCACTAGCAGAAGTTAAGAAGTGGTCTTTTCATTTAACAAAAAAGGCCATCATTGGTAAACTTCGGATAACATGGCAGCAGCAGAGGGCGGAGCCCTTTACTTCGATAGCGTGGTCTTTTCCTAAGACTCATAATTACAAACTCAATATTGAAAGTGCTTTCTTGAGAAATCCAAGTTTAGAAAGTGGTGGTGGAGTTATCAGGAACAGTATGGGTGGTTTTATTGTTTCTTTTGCAAAGCATTTTGGTTTTGCTTCTAATAACCATGCAGAATTCTAGGCCCTTGAGGAAGGAGTTCAATTGGTTATTCAAAGTAAATACTTTCCAATCCAGATTGAAAGTGACTTGGCCTTGCTTGTGAATTTCATTTAGAATCGATGCAATGCTCTATGGAGATTAAAGACGATTGTAGACAATTGTTGTACGAGACTGTCTTCTCATCGATGGTTCATCACACATGTCTTTCGTGAGGCTAACATGGTTGTTGATGCTCTAGTTAAGAGGGCAGTTGCTGGCCCCGATGCTACTGTGTGGTACCATAGACCACCAGATTTTCTTTCCTCTCTTTTATTACATGATCTGGCACAAGTGCCCTACCATAGGGTTGTATCTTAATTGTTTTTCTTTGCTTTTTTATTAATAAAAAAATGGGTAGGGGGCCTTCTCCCCCACTGACTTACCCAAAAAAAAAAAAAAAAAATGAAAAGGGAAAGTTCCAATGTGACATTAAGAGGTCCAAATCAACAGTAAAACGAAATATTAAAAAGAAAAAAAAGATCACTGTATATATTAAAAAATTATTAACTTTTTTTGTAAATTACCTTATCAACGAGATCGGGCAAATGCTCCAACAAAACAGTAAACCAGTACCTATGACAAAATACAACTTGCAGGTAAGCCAAACTGCCAATGACCAAGAGACTTCCTACACATGATCTAATAATATCTATAAAATACAACAGTGCAATTTGATATGATTCCCTCACAACTTACTCAAGCTCACTACGATCTGCAAGGTCGATTGTGTTTGGTTCATACCTGTAAGAGGAACATATTTTGTAAGTAAACTGCACAATAACCCACTTGCAATGAAAAATTGAAAATGCCAGTCAAATAAGGGAATGAAAAAATGAAAAGGATAATATGATTCAAGTTGGTATTACATTTCACAAGATAGAAAGGACAAAAAAAAAAACAATTGTGAGCTGCATTCATCACAATCGCAGAAAGAACCTTTCTTAGGATACAATTATGCATCTTACTAAAATCTTAGCATGTGCATCAAATGAGAGGGAATAAACTTCTATGAAATACAATGTCAAGATGAATTCCACGGATAAACAAGCATAAGATGCTCAGAAGTCAGAAGATCCCAGCGCATCAACTTAGCAAATAGAAGTTTCTATAAGTTACATCACTAGCAGATCTGCTAGGATATAGAGTTACATTTGAAACCTGGGAAATGAACCTGTGGTTTACATATATGTGCACAGAATTTGAACATCCATGTTGATCTTCTGAGAAACCAAGGCGTCGGACAAGAAACATTCTAAGACACACCTAACGATGTGTCTGGGAATGGTCCAGATGCACAAATCAGATTCAATAATTGCTCATTGCTGTCATATAGTTGACAACTCTTTCTACAAGTTACTTGTTTTCCCCCACGCAAATGGTGCTCAAATCTAGTTGCCTAGGGCATTCAAGTCCTACAACCAATTTTTGAAACAATGTTTGGTTGCATCAAACGCAAGTCCAATGTGTTTTACCTTGGCACCCACACTTTAAATAGAGGCAATATTAGGACCAATTAACCAAATGATACATTCAACAGAATTTTGTCTATAATATTTTACTATAGAGGTATGTTGGATTTTTGTGGTATTTAAAAGCCTAGAGAGCTTGTAAATATGATATTTTATAGCAGAATATACACTTCAGTGGGAGTGTGTGCGTTGATTGAATAATAGTTGGGCACGTTATAGCCCTGGTCATGTCCAAAACCCTTTCCCTAGGCATGTGGCACTACCGAAAAGGGTTTGCAGTTGGACATGTACACATGAAAACCGCATTACTGGGAAGCATCCCTATAGAGGGACATGTGTATATGTGCATAAAGAGAGCTCCATTTGCACTGTCGTGACAATTGCAAGACTTGTTCTTAAAAGGGGGAAGTGAAATCCACATTCTAGGATCATGATCTCATTGCTTATTGTTCAACTTTGACAAGTCAATCATGACCCCCTGCAATGAGCCTATGGGTCATGGGTTTTTATTAGGAAGGTTAAGAAAACAGTAGTAGATCATGGTTTCTGAGGCGAGTAGAGTGCTCTTATTATCACTATTGTTTACTCAATGGTACCAGTCCACTCCTAATATATTTTATTTTGGTATTAGAAATGTTTTTATAATTTTTAAATATTTTTTCAAAAATTTAAATATTATTTCTGTTGTAATATTCATCAAAAGGGTATGTTTGAAATTTTTAGAACTTAAACTAACACATGTAAGACCAAGTATCCAACCACACATGTGTGTGCTTTTTCTTAAGAGAGGGACCACATGCCACCCCTAAGAGGGCCATGCCCCTTTTTTAGCAAAAAAGAGCACGCCACTATTTTAGCAAAAAGTGGCACGCCACTATTTTAGCAAAAAGTGGCACGCCACTTTTCTAGGAAAAAAGGGGGCACGCCCCATATTTTCTTATATTTGGTTCAAACTTGTAAATTAGTTAAAAGATAGGAAATCTTTTTTAAATAAGCTTTAGTTTCGTATCCTATGGAAGTTTTAAAATATAGATTATCCTCAATTACGGGAGATCTAGATTATGATAAAATTTAATTATAATTCAAATTTAAATATGAGTTGGATTTGGGTCAAAATCTAAAGGGATAAGGTTCCTATTTTCCACCCAAAATCATGATGGCTGATTTGTGGGATGGGTGGCTCTAATTTAATCTCTCTCACCCCTCATATTATATATATATATATATATATATATATATATATATATATAGT